AGACGATCACGGAGTCTGCTTACTGGTCTTGTCAGGCAGGGGCCCCCACCCGGGGCACAAGGCACTGGTCACCATGAGGTTGCCGTCGGGCAGGACTTAAACGAGGCCGAGCAGCTGTAAGTGACCAGAGGCTGGCTGGGCAGGTAGGGTTACCCCCAGGTCTAGAGCTCAGAACTGCACAGAGATCCCCCCACACACACTGTCAGCCCCTAGAAACATCAGCACAATGCAGGGTAGGATGTGTGGTGTGGAGTAGGGTGAGATGGGTGCAGCAGGTGGCCTAGACACCTGCCTTGGGGTCCACGGAGCACCGAGCATGGCGTCAGGGGTCCCAGCTGGCAGGGGATCACCTTGCTGAGCAGGCTCTGGGGCCCTGCCCCTGGACCACGGCCGGCCTCCTAGCCTGTCCCCTTGCCCCAACTGTTGGGCCTCAGCTGCCCTAGGACTTCCATGCGCCGCACTGGGGGCTGCCCCACAGGACACGCATGTCTCACAGCTCTGAGAGGACCTCCCTCGGCCCCAGGATGCACCTCAGTGGAACCTGCTTCTCATCCTGGGGACAGTGGGCAGGGCTGTGCAGGGAGCCTTTCATTTGACAAGTGTCACTGCACCAGCTCTGCCTGGCTGTGGGGTACAGCCGGGCACCGGGCTGCCTTTGGGGGGCAGGGGACGGACAGGGAGCAGGCAGGGCATACAGCAGGCAGGCTGCCATTCACAGGCGAGGGGTGGGCACAGACATAAAGTGCAGCAGGCCTGAATGCTGATCTGTCCTAAGGGCAGGGGAGGACAAGGACCCCCTCGGCTCCCAGGGAGGCAACGGCTAGAGGGGGCAGTTAGCCAGGCTACCATGCCAAGGGCCCCCAGCAGCCCCACAGTGCGAGCACCCAAGTCCACACAGACCCCTCAGAGCCGGGGAAAGGCAGACCCCCATCACGTTCTGTCTCCTCCTGGAACCCCTCACGCACAGTCACACCCTGCAGGTGACCATGCCCCCTCTCCTTCCTGACTTGTCAGGACCATCCACCCCCACTGATCAGCCACTGAGCCATGGCCAGGCCCCGACTGAGCGCCAGCCCCCAAGGAGGAGCTCTTTGCCACCGACCCCATTTGCACCTTCTCAAAGCTAACAGTGGGAAGGGCTGTGGCATCCCCCGTCCTCACCACGAGCCCCACCGTGGCTGCCCACCCTTATTCACCCCCTCACACATCCATCCACCCAGCCTCCCCTTCACCTGTGACCCAGTCACTCAGTAAACATGTTTGGGTACCACTGCTGCCAGGCCCCGCCCGGGCGGGCTGCTCGTCAGCAAGCGGCTTCCCATCAGATGGGCTCCCAAACCAGAGGCCCGGCCACAGCGTGTCTGCAGACACTCCCACTCGGGCCCACGCGGGGCAGTGGCCCTGAGCACCCAGGACCCCCAGCAGACACCCCCGTGCAGGAACCCAGGGGCAGCGGTCCCCCGGGCAGACAGATGCTCATTCCCCAGGCCCGGGCAGTCCCTGACGCCACGCACCACCCAGCTCACTTGTTTGCGCACGGCTGGCCTCTTGGCCTTTGGCACCTGCAGTGCCCAATCCAAGCCCCGCCCAGGGCCTGATACCTGGTGGGGGCTCAGCAGAGCCTGCTTGGGGCATGGCAGGCCCCAGGGTTCGGCTGCCAGGGGGCCGGTGGGGGTGGCGGTGAGGCTGGAACTTGCTCCCCCCATGTCCAGCCCTGATCGGCCAGCCTGGACATCCACGAGAGGGCACAGGCCTGTGATGGGTGGGGTCACTATAGCACCCCAGACTCCCAGAGTGGCAGCATCTGCCCTTGGCCCTCTGCTCGCTGCCGTGTGCTGGGAAGGCGCCACGTCCCGGCGGCTTGCAGCTCCACCCAGGGGCCCGACTCCAGGATGGTGCAAATCTGGGATCATCAGCGCACTCCTTGGAAGGTCTCCCTTTGCAGCGATAAGATAAATATTTACAGATTTAACTTCCGAGATAGGAGGGGTTCTCAATTTATGGCTGTAATTATATCACTGGCTCTGTGAACGCCCACTAAAAATTTTATGCCACGTGTGACACGAACACAGCACTTTGAAGTAAATGACTGGGCCTGCAGCGCAGAAACCTTGGCTTTTGTGGGGTGCTGGTTAACGGATCACCCAAAAATGTGCCTTCTCACCTCTGACTCTGTGGAGGCTGCAACATCAGCTCAGAGGCCCCAGGCCCTGGGAGCCCGAGGGGAACCTGACCAGGGTGGACAGCCCGGTGCCAAGAGCGAAATGCAAGCCTTTGTCAGCCGAGGCCACCAAGATGCGGAGGATGGGTTCGCCCGGGAAGCCTGACCCGGCCTGTTCTGCGGACCCGGCACCGTGCTGGCTTTGCCCCAGGCCCAGGGCTACCGCAGTGAGTGGTGACGAGGTCCCTGCCCATGTGGGGCCCACGTTCCAGGACAGGAGGCGGGCATGAGCAAATAACCCAGGACTGCACCCACCACCAGGGCCCACCTGGGGGGCGAAGCCGGGAAGCTGGGCAGGGACAGCCCACGGGCGTCACTCTGAGCAAGGGGGCCTAGGAAGACTTGGGACCTGTCTCCTCCAATGGGACTTCTTCACCTCAAGGGTCCCCGTGAGGACCCGATGGAAGTTCCAGCTCTGTCCCCAAATCGCCCCTGCACTCAGATAACCTGAGAGGGTCATGGCCCCGCAGGAAGCCTAGCTCCAGCCTGGCACCCCCTCCTGCAGCCTCACAAGGCCAGCGATGAAGGCTCGGCCTCCCTACTGAGAGCAAGTCCCGGGTCCCATGCTCCAGAACGGGGTTTCGCCCGGGCCCCAAGCCCTCGCCCCAGCACTGTTCCCCTGGCGCCAGGTGTGATTTTGGAGTTATATTGAGGAAGGACAGTGGTGGTGAGGATGGGTGCCTGTAACCAGATAAGACCAGCAGGACACAGTTGTCGTGGGAGCCGGATTTATCCTGCCGCGGTCAGCTGATGGGTTCCGGTTACAGCCCCCAGTGGCCCGCCAGTGCGTGAGCTTGGCGTCCACACTGGGCAGCTGCAGGGATCGACCAGGACAGTGGTTTTCCTGCAGAAATGCACTTACTACATGCAAGTTAAAAATAGCCACAAACCCGCTCGCCAAGGTGCTGCGACGAAGAACGGCCCAGGAGAACCTCAGAGAAGGATCCCCCCACAGGCCTCACCCGGCCACCCCACCCATGCTGCTCAGGAGTGAAGGACAGAGGCCTGTGCAAGAGGGGTAAATGACCACAGCCTTCAAGAGAAGGGCAGCAGCAGGCCCTAGAGGGGATGGGGGCTGTCACCCAGGGCCCCTCCCAGGCAGTGTGGCAGGGCCCCAGCTGCCGTGCGAGCCACCACCCCAACCCCTGCCTCCAGGTCACAAGCAATAGGCCAATGTGGCCTGGGCCCAAGGTGGCCCGACTCTCCAGCCAACCAAACGTCCGCTGTCAGTCTTCCTGCTGGGCCCCGAGGCTGTCTGTCTGCCCATGGGCAGTGGGAGGGGTATGACCCAGCAGAGGAGGGTAGGAGGGCGCCTGGTCGCAGCTATTTTAAAGGCCAGGAAAGGATAGGTGCAGGGAGGGGTGGGCTATCTGCCTGGGGCAGGAGGCAGCCCAGGGCTTCTGGGACAAAGCCCTGCCCACACCACAGTGGGGCCTGGGTGGGCCTGCCATGGACCGTGGTGGGCAAGGCAGAGCCTCAGAGCCCACCCGTGAGAACACCCCAGGCCAGGAACCTCGGGCACAGCAGCCGAGACAGCCTCTCCCTGCCCAGGTGGGCGCCGACTCAGGAAGCTGGTCCGGGCTGGCCTGGAGGCCCAGGGCATTCACAGGGCCCCCAGCAAGGCCAGAAAATGGTCGCTCCTCACCCAGTGGGGGCCCATACAGGGGCCGAGCCTTTTGAGTCAAGTCCTTCCCACTAAATAGCCATCGACCCCACCAGAGCGGTCAGAGTCCAGCGCAGACCCCCGAGAGTCAGGTTGTGGCCTCACCACATTCATAGTACGACTCTGGGCAAGCTCTCACGCTGGGGTCTCAGTGTCCTCATCTTTAAAACGGGGGGATCGTGGCACCTCCGCCTGCCCTGGGGAGCAGAGCACACCCAGCACGCAGCCTAGGGCACACAGGAAACAGAGGTCCCCCACAGACAGAGAGGACTGACCTAAGTCTCATTAAGGTGTTAATGACTGCTAGCGTCCCCACTTTCTAGACAGACAGGGCTGCTGGGGAGGGAGTGGAAGACTAGGGGGACTAGGAAGGGTGAACGGAGAGGCTAAAAGGAAGTGACTGCCCACCCTGGCCCCCAACACTAACTCCGTCCACTTCCCAGACCCACCTTGGCCCCTGACACTGGTCTGGTCAGGCTGGGCCAATGGCAGAAGCTTAGGGTCCAGCCCCCCACAGAGTGCTGGTGCCCAGGCCTGACGCCTGGTAGTGGCTGAGCACACAGCGGGCTCCACCAGTGTCCGCTCATGACGCTTCATCCTGCAGTGGGCAGTGGCTCAGAAAGCACTCCCTGCCCCAGGGGGGCCTTTCAGGGGGTGGGAAGCAGGTGAGCAGGCCGGTGAGGCAGGGTCTCTAAGACCACTCCCCGGCCCTGAGTGGACAGGTGAAGCGCCTCCCCATCCCGGCCTGGAGCCCCAGAGCTGGCGTCCGCGGTCAGCCCTCCAGCAGCAGGAAGGTGTTCTGCGTCTCCGTCTCTGAGCTACCTGGACACAGGGCCAGGCTGACGGCCCCTGCGGCTGGGGCTTGGCAGCCACATCAGTCAGCTCATCAGAAGGCGGGGCCCCTAGGATGAGGCCCTGCCTCCCCTGCCCTCCCCTGAAACCCCTGGGCTTCAGCAGAGCCCCTGGCAGACCCCGGCCTCCCCCCTGAGAACACCCCCACCCGCTGCGTGAGGTCATCAGCTCAGGCTGCCCAGGGAAGGGTGTGCCCTCCTGACGCTCACTCAGCTGAGAGCTGGTGCTCAGCTCGGGGGCCCTGTGAGTGCAGAGAGGGCAAACGCCCGTGCCCAGCCCAGCGCCTTCCCAGGCCCTGCCCAGACACTGCTAATCGCCTCTGTCGCCGCTTGAGTCCAGAAGCAACCTCAGAATCCTTGTGGACACAGCTGACCTGCGGGCCACCGGGGAGGTCAGGGGAGGTGCACCAGGTAAGCCTGACAGGCCAGCCCTCCATGGGCGAAAGGCACCTCAGAGCAGGCCTTGCCCGCTGCCGAGGACGAGACCCACCCTGACCCTCCGTCTGCCCCCCAGTCTGGCGGTTCCCACACCTGTGAGCCGAGTCCGGGAGACTGGGGTGTGTCCCTGGGATGGGAGCCTCCCTGTCCAGCCTGTCGGGGGGTTGGGGCTCTCTTGGCTGGGTGAGGAGGCCAACAGCCCCTGAGCAGCACTTCCCATCCTCCCGGCCGAGCTGGCCTCTCCGGGCGCCCACTCGCCTTCCTTCCTGGTTTCTGGCCTTCACTGCTCTTCTGTGAGATTCCTCAGCTCCACCCTCGGCACATCCACTGGATTCCCATCCCTGCGGGCATCTGCTCTCCCTCTGGGAGGTGCTGGGGCTGGTCTCTGATTTACTGGCTGTGTGCCGATCTGTGGGCCTTGGGAAGGTTGTGGGGGCAGGGAAGGTTGGGGGCTCCCACCAGCCTAGCATTTCACGGCAGCCCTCGGATTTCGTTTCCCACCTTCGGGGGCCTCCCCTGCACCCACGGCCTGATTCCTGCCTTCTCTCCCTCCCAGAGGCCAACACAGACCACTTCCTGGTTCCCCAGAACACCTGCGGGCATAGCCCATTTCTGCCAGGGTCTGCGGTGATAAGCAGAGTATGGCCTCCCAGGCAGCGAGTGATGGGGACCCTGGGCATGTGTCTCACTCTTGTCTTTGCATCATGGCCGCCCTGGCCAGCTGCAGGCCCCCACTGCCTGGCCCCCCGCGCACCTCTGCACCTCTCCACTCCAGCTGCCAGGGGTGCTTGGCCTTCTGTCTCCCGGCTCCAGCCCAGCGTCTGCCCACACAGAAGCTTCCTTACGGCCATTGCCCCTAGAACACGGTGCTCCTGTCGGCCCATCCCTCACGCGAGAGCATGTGTTGTGGGGGGGGTCTGCAGCTGCATGACCGTGACAGGCCACATGAGCCTCCCTGTGTGCACAGGCACCCCCGGAGCGGTACCTTTGAGGAGGGGCTGGGGACGCGTGTGCACAGGTATAGACTTGCCTGCTGTCCTGGAGCGCCGTGCCCCCAGGCCCTGCCCCAGCAGGTGCGGCTGCCTGGCTGTGAGTGTCTTCCTCGCCGGCTTTCTCTCTCTGCGTTTCTTCTCCCCTCTCTGTGCTCTTTCCTGCCTTTTACTGGGCCCCTGCTCCTTCACCCAAACACGGCCCCTGAGCCCCTCCGTGGAAAGAGCCATGTCAGAGCTCAGCGGTTGTCAGTGCATGGGGAGCCCTGAGGGCACGGATCCTGCATCCTGGGTGGGGCCAGTAAGTGCCAACACCTGGCTCCAGAGTGCACCTTTGACCTCCCACCCTTGGGCAGGGCGGTGAGAGGCACCAACCGGACTGTGCGGGGACCACCGAGTCTGGTGTGGAGGAGGGGAGGCTGGGATCCCATCTTCTCTGTCCCACCCCAGCTTCCCCAGGGTTCAAAGATGACCCCAGAGCCCACACACATGGAGCCCTATTGGAAACATTAACCAACTCACCCCGAGGCTGTAGGGGACCTGCACCTGGCTCCCAGGGGAGGGCTGTGCAGAGCAGCCCCGTTCCCAAGAGCACAGCACAGCTGTGGGGAAAAGTGACTTCAAGGTGGAGAAGCCTCCGCCAGGTGGTCATGGTCAGCACCCAGTTCGGGGTTGTGCTCATATCAGGGACCTCGGTGCAGTGGGCTGAGAAGGCACTGCCCCTCTGTGGTTGCCCCAAAGACCACTACCCCAGTCAAGCCGTGAGAAGATCACCAGACCAGCCCAAATGAAGGGACCCTCTCCCGAGCACCTGGCCAGTCCTCAGAGACAGGGAAAGCCTGAATCAGGGCCCCAGCCCAGAGGGGCCCAGGGGGTGTGGTGGGTGCGGGTCACGTGGGTCCTGGACAGGATCCCGGGACAGAGAAACGGTGTGAGGGGGAACAGGAAATTCGGACCCTTTAAGTAGTAATGCACCAAGAGTGGCTCATTTATTGTAAAAAATGTTCATTTAAAAGCCATCCCTTCTCACCTTTGTTTAGCGGACAAGGCATTTTTAAATCACTTCAATTAGTCGCCAATTTAAATGACCAGGAGGTTGTTCAGAGACCTGGCTTTCTGACTTCTGAAAGCCTGGGGCAGCTGAGCAGGCGGGACAGGGTCAGCTGCCTCTCAGGGCCCGCACACCCTGGGGAACCCTCCCTGACCCGGGCAGCCCCACCCAGAGCTGTGCGCCAGGCCGCGGGCTGGGGGCCTCTGCACTTACCCACCCAACCGGACAGATGGGGAGACTGAGACCTGGGAAGAGGCAGGGACTCCTCAACATCACCAGCAGGCGGAGACAAGGCGGAGACAAAGCCAGGGCCGGAGGGGAGGGGCCCGAGGACACGCGGCCAGGCAGGAGCAGGGAGCTGCTGGTTCTGGAAGCTCAGTTCCTCTGCCAACTTCAGAAATCAGCACTCCTGGGTTTTCAAGTAGACTACCTTTCTTAAGTAATAATAATACACGTAGGGAAGGCACACCATGTGGTCTCTCCCAATTTATGCTTCCTGTGGTTAGCAGTGGAATCCTGCACCCGAGCCTGAATACAGTCCGGCCTCTCCTGGCCATTCCTGAGCACCCGAAGCTCCAGGTAAGCACCCCGGCTGGGGGCTGGCCCATGGGGTCCCTGCTGGGACAGTGAGCAAGGGCGGCCTGCAGGCCGCGAGGCCACAGAGCACAGCCTCGGAGGTGGGACACAAACCCAGAACAGAGGTGTCCAGAGCTACAGCAGGTGGGCCGGCCAAGGGTGCACAGCCCTGGAGGCCACACGGGCCCTGGCATCCCCAGGCCCTCCTAGACCCTAGACCCTCATTTGGGGAGCCTCTGAGACCCTCGGACTTAACTGCCACTGGGGCAGTGTCTCTGAGGACAGTGTCCCCAGCATGTCTCACCTGAGGCCAAACCCACAGGTAACGGAGGAAGCTGCTGGAGCCAGCTTGGGGATCAGAGGTTAGGTCTGGTAGAGGGACAGGGACAAGCCAGCACAGCCCCCCAGCCCCTGCTTCTGCCACTGGGATGAGTTGGGTCTCACCTCCAGACTACTCAGGGTACATGGGGGGCACAGTGACCACATCCCAGGTAGTCCTCTTAAAGCCCATTTTCTGTGGGCATGGAAGGTCTGGCCTCTGCTCTCAGGCAAATGCAATACCCGGGGACCAGCAGAGAGAGGTGCACATGGTGGAGGTAAACCCGGCCGGCTGCTCCTCCGCCCCCAAGGAGCTGGCTGATGACAGCAGTGTGGCATCTGTGTGGAGCTGAGACATTGACGTGGGCTGGCCGGGAATCACCATGTGACCAAGTCCTGGTGCCGCCTGGCAGGGCTCTGTGACTGAGCGTCCCCTCAAGGTGCAGTGGGGGACTTGTGCTGGCCTGGCATTCTGAGGGTCTCACACACTCCCCGGGGAGGCACAGGGCGCTGAGTCAAGGCCCATGGGCAGGGGACTCCAGAGACCCCCTGCCAAGGGCAGCCTCTCCGTTTCTACTGGAATCCACCCCCAAACTGTGCTTTGTTGCCCCTAGGGGGCTTCCCAGCACTGCCCTCTGTGTCACTCCGAGTAGGTCCGTGACGTCTACCTGCAAGCACGCTGCCAGGCTTGAAGGCCACGAGTGCCCATCCGGAGCCCTGGGCACTGCCTCTGCTGAAGTACCTCAAGCCTGTCCTTCCCAGCTCCGGAGGAAGCCCCAGCTTCACCTTCTGGGTGTGGGGTCAGTGCTGTGTGCCCTGGACCACGGGCCTTCGCTGGTGACCACACATACCTCGCAGAGACTCAGTTAACACCCACTGCAGCACATGCTGGCTCTGAGCAGAGGGCCTGCCACGTCCCCCTCAAGATGGGGCAGGCCTGAGCCTAGGCACCCACATGCCCTGTGGAGGGCAAGAGGGGAGGATGCCCAGGAGGGGCCCAGCCCCACGGGGCACCAAGGAACAGGAAAGGGCAGGACAGACCCAGGCCCCGCCCGCACAGCCACCATGCAGCAGACAGGCAGGAATTATGGGAAAGTGCCTCCACGGATCCGAAGAGCAGGTCAGGGGAGATGGGGAGGAGGGCAGGGGGTTCAGAGAGACCAGAAGCCAGAGGGTGGAGAGGAGGGGCTCCGTTCCTTCCAGAGCAAACCCTCAGGCTCCACTTCTGACCACCTGTCATGGAGAAAGCAGAGGGTCAGAGCCAGTGCGGGACAGGAGGAAGGCCAGGGCCCCTTCCCCATGGACGGGGCTGAGGTGGTGACAGTGGTGGGGGTGGGCGGGAGGGGCAGCATCTCTGTCTCCCGGCTCCTGTCTCTGAAGTTTTATGCAGTCACATGCTGAGGTCCCACGGTCACCCTTTGAAGTAGGCACACTTGCTGCCCCATTTTACAGAAGAGAAATGAAGCGACTGTCTAAGGCATCATAGCCAGGAAGTGCGATCTGAACTCAAGCCCCAGAGACAGAGGGTGTCATAAACACCCTGCAGCTCAGCCCGGAATGACGCCCGTCTGATGGGAGAGCCGTGACCCCACCCCCACCCCCGCCGGAAATCTACAGGGACGCATGCCCTCCTCTCTGGGCCCAGGTCAGGCCTCAGGAAGCCTCGTCTCCCGGGGGCGCACGGTCCCCCGAGTGCTTGTAACACCATCCCAGTCCTGATAATTTTCTCAGCGTGGCTGGAACAGCAGAGGTCACGCTCAGGGTGCGCCCAGCCCGCGTTAGAAGGAGCCCTCGGGAGGCCTTTCCTGCAGCCCGTCTCCCACCCAGCACACGAGGGAGCCGGACCAGGTCCCTGCAGGGTCCCCCCAGGCCCAGCACTTGGACTACCCAAGGCTGCCGGCGGGCGGTGGGCAGCCTCGGAGCTCCTGAGGGCAACAGAGAGGCTGAGGCTGATGGAGAAGGGCAGGTGTCCCTGCTCCCTTCACAGGAGGGGCCGGAAAGGACCCCTCAGGCCCTGGGACGCCAGCCTGACCGGGCGACGAGGGGCCTCTTTCTCGGACACTCAGGAAGCCAGCGGCTCCTCAAGCCCTGTCTTCTGGGCTCTGACTGGGGGTACTTGGCCAGGGCTGGGGCCTGGGGCACTGCGGGCTGGGCCCCTTGGAACCTAGTCTGAGGAGCAGATACTCACTCAGCCTACTGGGGCTGGTGCTGGAGGGCACACCATCTCCGGGCACAGGCTCAGCCAGCAGGGCTTCCGCCACATGGCACAGCCGTCCTGAGCCCCGGGGCTGCTCCTGGGGCCCTGCCTCACCTGCAGTGCCCACAAACCCCTGGGGAGTGTCCAGACGGCACTGGGGCCCACAGAGTCAAAGAGAAGATTCTGGTCCTGGGGCCAGATGGGCAGATGGGCAGGTGTGGCCTCTGCTCATGGCCAGCTCCCACCCAGACCCCACCCAGGGTCCCCACTTCACAGCTGAGGATCCTGAGATGCTACATGACATGCCAGTTGCCCAGAGAAAGGGGCTTCCGGTGTGCATGGAGTCCCAGCTCCCACGCCATGGCAGTACACACAGATGCATGCTTGCTCAGGTTTACACGGTGAGATGTGCCTGCAGATACACGTGCATGGACACAGCGTCCTCACGCAGACACACGCTCACACTCACAAGACACTCGTGTGACAGACATTCCCATGCGATGCACCCACATTAGAGACAAGACCTCGGGGCGCCCCCAAGTGGCAAAGTCCCACAACACCCACCTCCTGGCAGAGGAAAGCCCCGCCCCCCCGGGACCTTTGCTCAAATGTGGGTCCACACTGGATCTGGATCATGCCCCACAGGGGCAGCAGCTGGCCAGACTCTGAATTCCACCTGCTTGCAGAGCTCTGAATGCCCCCAGAAGCGATTTGCATAAATAAACTAGTATGTTTTCTCTCTCAAAACACTTAACAAACGGTTAGTATGTGAATAATGGTGTCACTTGCATTTATTTTCCCAAGAATGTCCCTGTGAAGTGGAGGGGCTGTGCCACGGGCAGAGCCCCGGTGTCTGGGCCCCGATGCAGGGGTGGGCTGGCATCTGTGCTGCAGCCGGCCTGTCCCAGCTGACTGAGCCACCCCTTCAGTCTCCACCTCTGCCCCTCGGCAGGCTGAGCGTCCCTGCAACTCCCGCCTTCTTGATGTTTTCCTCTAAATCAACCCACGGATGGTTGGGCTGGATGAGTGCGTTTCTCACCATCAGCTTCCCTGTGTTCTGTTTTGCATCTCCCTGCTTTTGATCAGGTGCTCACCATAAACCTAGGAGTCTGCACGGGCATCAGCCAGCGTCACCCTCCCAGAAGCAGCCCCTTCCTCCATGGCTACTTCTGCAACTTTAAATGAACCCGTTTTTAAAGAAAAGTTAATATTACAGCCACAAGCAGCAGACCGGCTCACCCACCTCAGCAAAGGGCGATGGAGAAGCTAAATCAGTGTAAGGGCACAGGGCAGGACCCTAACTGCATCTCAGGGAGAAAAGCGGGTGTTGGGAAGATGGAGGGAGGGAACGCTGTGGAGACCATCCGGACTCTGGAGAATGCAGAGAGCTCGGAGGCTGCCCCCAGGCCTGGGGCCTACTCTGCAAAGCCCTCTGCTCCTTTGACCCCACACCCTCCCCTCACCCCTCAGCTCTGAGCTCCGTCCTCTGGCCTGTCCACCCCGGGGCGTCTGCATGGGCTGGGCCTCAGTCAGGACACCCTTCTCCTGGCCGCTGGCACCTGCTCACCCCTCATGCTGGAGCTTGCAGGGCATGAGGACGCATGCCCACCAGCCGCAGGCCGTCACTGCCAAGATCCGCATGCAGGTCCTCACTGGGGCCGTCGCTGTCTCTCTCCAGGCTCACCCCAACACGTGACAACAGGATGCTGGCAAACGCCACTGTCACCTCTTCACAGAAAGTGCAGGAAGTGGCCCAAGGTTCTCCAGCCCCAGCCCCCCATGCTCTCCTCAGACCTTCCTGCAGTTCCAGGTGACCCGCGAACAATGCAGGCTGGGGCTCCATAGGTGCACTTACACACGGACGTCGTTCAACAGATGTATTGGAAAAGTTTTGGAAATTTGCAACAATTTGAAAAAAACATTTTCTTTTCTCTAACTTTATTGTTATAATACACACAACACACAAAACGTGTCGATCAGCTGTTTATGAGGAAGGTTTCCCATCAGCAGTAGGCTGTCAGTATGTAAGTTTTGGGGCAGGCAAAAGTTACACTTGGATTTCTGACTGCACAGGGGTTTGGCACCCCAACCTCTGCATTGTTCAATAGGCAACTGTATTTCAAAATAAAAAGCTAAAATATACCTTACATCTTCATGTAGTAGTTCTGTATACTATTTTAATAATCACACGTACACGGGAGGCTGGACAGCTCAACCTCCACAGCGTCCAGAGGAGGAAGGTCCTCAGTGCCCCGGTCTGGCCCCACTCGGCCTGTCAGCCTGGCCAGGAGAGTGAGCCACCCAGCCTCAGACAGCCCCAGGAGGGCCCCCGGCTGGTGCTCCAGAACACGGCGGTGGCGAGGAAGGCCCAAGCTAGGAAGCATTACTTCAGCACCTGCACATGCCTGAAATCCCACTGTCCTTGTGGACTCCAGCCCCCATGCAGGGGAAGTGGCGGGGGGCTTTCTCTTCTGCTGAGCCGTCGATTTAACGCCAAACTGCTTCAGGGACTACGAGCTCAGGTGAGTCTCACTGACTGGCAGGCCTGTCCCCAGATACTAAATCCTACAAGGTCTTCCTCCCTGGGCCGCCTCCCCAGGGGCAGCAGATGACACACGATGGTCCCTGCTTGTCCCCAGGGATGAGCACCCCGGTGGCAGCAGAGATTCACAGTGGCTTTGGGAATCACAGGCTGACCTGGAAGGCCCTGTAGTAACCCCCAAAATGCTCTTACACTGGGGCGAGGGCCAAGAGTCAAGCCCCCACCTGTGCCTGCCGAGGCAGCAACAGACGGCAGGAGGGCAATCCTGACCCACCACCAGCCCCCAGCTCGAGGTGGGCGAGGAAGCCGGGGCAGCCCCAGCCCCCACTCTACCCTCCCCACCTCTGCAGTGGCTGCACCCACAATTAATTCCTCCTCCTTTCACGTAAAATAAATGGAGTTTGTGTCTAAGCTGCAGTTTTGCCAGGATCCAATTTGGCATCAAGAAATAAGAATTATGGGGCCCATCCATTTTTCTGGACACGCTTTGAAAAGGAAGTGCATCTTTGCAGACCCTGGTGCCGTGCACAGGCCCATTGAGGAGGTTCCGCCCCGTATTTAAGTGGTACCCAGGCCTCCCAGCAACACCGAGCGATGCCCTGCCCCACGTGGCCACCAGGGGGTGCCCACCGCCACCTGCCAGTCCCTTGTTCCAGGTGGACACCCCCACCAGGACAGGCCTGGGGCCACGGGAATGGCATCCCCTCCGGGTCGGGTCGGCGGGAACTGGACGAGGTCTCCTTGGCTTTGAACTGGAGGGTATGGAGTAGGCCCACACAGCCCAGGCCTCCCCAAAGCGATTCCTCTGCCTCCCTCCAGCCGCAGGCCTGTGAGCACCAAAGGGCAGGTGTGGCAAGGGACCGGCCCGCCACTCAGACGGAGGACAGTGCATCAGGTGCCTGGGGGGCCTCAGCCGTGAGCCTCGCCACTCAGCCTCCGTATACAGAGATGAACGGTGCTGACGCACAGGGCAGGGCCTGGGCAGTGAGGAGAGGAGTGTCAGCACCCGGACCCGGGGAGCCCACCGGCCCTGGCCCTGGGCCAAGCAGAGCGGGGAGCAGCCTCCCCCACCTGTGCGGGAAGATGCGTCAGGGAGCCATGAATGGCCTTCCTGGGTAAGGTAGTGGCTGCTTCCCAAGGGGCTGGGTGGAGTTCAGGACCCCCGAGGGGCCAAGCTGGGCGGGGGCCTCGGCGGTGGGCTGCTGGCGGCCCTGCACGGGTGCCGCTCCTCCAGAGGCCCCTGTCCGTCTGTCACCCATCAGCAGCTGGCACACACCCTGTGCCTCTCCAGCACAAGCAGGAAGGGAGACAAAACGGGGCCTGCCTCCAGCAGTTCTGTCTGCCCAGAAGTGGGCAAGACCCTTCTCCAGACAGAAGCCAGGGCTGGGAGGGGGCTATTGGGGCCAGTGCAGGCAAGGAGGGCTTCCTGGAAGAGGCAACACCTGCAGATCACCTTACCAACAAAGCGGCCACAACTACCTGGGACCCTGACACACCTCCCCGTAGTCTCTATAGGGGCCATGAGGGGCAGGGCTCCCAGCATCCACCTCCAGCCTCAGCCACAGTCATCCACCTGAGGGGGCAAGGACATGCTTGCTGCATCTGTCCACTCCACATGGGAACCTGAGTGCATGCCACATGCCCCAGGCCCCTCCACAGCTGGACAGCAAGCCTCCTGCCCTCCATACTGGACACGCAGGGTGAGCTCAGCTTTCCCAGAAGACGCTGTGCGCTGTTGAGCATTAATTATGGGACACTTGGAATAATGTGTTCCGGGAAGGCCCACAGCTATATTTAGCTTGGTGGTGTTCATGCCAGGGGCATCTTCCCCCACGCCTGCCCTGAGTGGGGAGAGTCAAACCCCATCCTCACCCTTTACCCCCACTGAAGGCCAGGCAGGACCTCACACCGCCTCGGTCCTCCTACCTGGGAGTAAGCACCACAGGCCCATCCCAGCGTGTCTGCATCGGGAAGCCAGCACCTGCTTCCCTGCAGCCCCTCAGCACTGGGCCCGGGGGTGCTTGTGTCTGGATGCCCAGGGCACCTGAAGCTGCTTTCTGGGCATGCCCGCTGGGGCCCTCTGTAGCTCCCCTCCCGTTGCTATGTCCTGACACCAAAGCCCTGGGTGGGTCAGGGGCTGTGCAGGCCAGGGCCCTGCCCGGGAAGGCATGGGTGAGGAGCCGGGAGGGACCTGTTTCACTCACTGGGGGTGGGGGCGGCGCCAGATGCCTGCCCCACACAGGCCCTGGCCACAGACCCCTGCTGGCAAGCACACAGGAACCACGGAGAACAGGGGAGGACTGCAGTGACCCGCGGGTGGGTAGGGCTCTCTGGGCAGAGCCTGGCAAGAGACTGCCCCTCTCACCCCCTCCCAGGCCGAGGGGCTGTGGGGGTCACATCAGGCCCAAGTGGCAACCTCAGAAGGCCCTGGGCTCTCCTCAGGGCCTGGGCCTGGCCAGGCACCCAGAGCTGTCTTACCCAAACGGGCAGGGGCTGGCACGGCCCCACATTGCCTGGGCCACCCCACCTTCCAGGTCTGCCCTGGACCCTCCAGGCCTCCTCAGTCCCCCGCCCCCCCCACCCCAGAAGCCATGATGGGGGCTTCGGGGGCCCGCAGTGCTGTGGGAATGAGGAGGCACCGCCCCAAGTTTGCCTGGCCCCCAGCCCCACACCCTCCGTGACCCAGCCTCCAGCATCTGTCACCAATCAGCTGGGCCTGGGGCTCCTCCTGGGTGGTGGGAGGGCCAGGACTCGATGAAGCTGAGCCTTCAAAGGCACGGAGGAGGCGCCTCCAGGCCGAGCAAACAAGAGTAAAGGTGGCCAGCGGCTCCTGACTCCCTCCTGGGGTCTGCAGGGGCCACGTGCCCGCCCCTCCAGCCTGCCCCCCACACATGACCCTTCACCTCCCTGCTCTCTTTCTCTTCTGCAGCTCTACCCCCACCCCAGGGCCTTTGCACATGCTGCTCCCTCTGCCAGGAAGACCCCTGAGCCTCTCCATCACCAGCCCTTCTTGTCCTCGCTCTCAGCACCAAGGCCCCTCCTCCTAGAGGCCCCCTGCCAACCCATCTCACGTAGCCCCTATCTCCATTCTGTTTCCTTCTCAGTCCCCCTCATAGTTGACCAGGATAGGGGTTCTGTCCCTGCTTCCTTCCCCTCCTGTGAGCCCAGGGGCAGGAAGGCCATGAGGTCAGTGGACTGCCCACCGTCCTCCCTCTGCTCCTCACCCCACACCTGGCAGCGTCCAGGCCTACCTCACCCCTGGGTCCTGGGGACTTCAGAAACGCCCCATCCTGGAAGCAGGACCAGTGCCAGGCCCCCACCCTCAGCAGGAGGGACGGCCCCATACACCTGCAGAAATAATAAATAGACCCCAGGGCTCCAGAAACCCTCTGGCCCTCAGGGCAAGACACCGAGCCTCTGGGGAGGCACGACAGGGCATCAGAAACTGAGGGCTGAGGCCCCACACAGCTGGCGCCCCCCACCGCTGTGCTTTCACTAGGAAACTGCTCGGCCCCCAAAGTCCAGCCCAGGGCCCATGGCCTGGGAAAGCCCTCTGCTCACCACACACACACACTGGCTCGGAACTCCAGCCTGGAGGCCGAGGTCACACCGGACAGAGCTCCCACCTGAACCTCAGCAAACCCCTCTGCAGGCGCCTGGGGCAGGGCCGGAGCTCGGGGCGGGAAGGCGGCCACGAGGGCTTCCTGCAGGAGGCGCTGCCCACAGGGCCAGCAAACAGCAAAGGGGACGGCAGGGCTTTGAGGGCGCCTGGGGCAAGGGAGGGAAAGAAAGGGAGGGCCCCCGGGCAGGGAGCCCAGGCCCCCCCCAAGGGCGGGGCCAGTGTGGGTGGGCGCGGAGAGGCTGGCAGGGCCGCCCAGGAGGCTGCGGACCAGGTGGGCAGTTCCCGCAGCAGCCGCTGGGGGGCCCGGGCAGAGCCTGTGAACAAGGACCCGCCCGACACTGGGGAAGGCATGGGGGGTCCTGCAGAGGCCCCCCAGGGCAGGCAGCTCACATGCCCCTCCTGCCCCCTGGGAGACCCCCTCTCCATCCAGCCTGGGACTAGGCCCCGGGGATATACAGGCACCTGACAGCTAATGATTCCCCCGTGCCGCATCACCCACCCACCCACCCTCCAACAGCCAGCAAGGGAGCGACGACCATGACCCCTACGTTGCAGATGGGGAAACTGAGGCACAGAGCAGCTGGGCAGGCGGGCCCAGGTCAGCCAGGAGAAAGGCGGTCTGAGCCATCACTGCTGCTCCTGAGGGCATGTTCTTAGGTTTACCCCGGACCCCCAGGAGCATGGGGGTTCTGGGCCGGGAGCCCCTGGCCTTCACAGGAGGAAAGAGAGCAGGCTTCCTCCAGAAGCACCCGGCGCCTGCAGTACTGTGCCCTGAGTTGGCTTCCCTCCCTCCCCAACCCTGGAAAAGGGGGCACATGACCAAGGGACCCTGCTGCACTGCACCCTGGGACTCAGTTTCCCCAAAGGTGGCAATGAGTAGGAACAGTTGGGTCCAAGTGATGGTGGAGGAGCATGCCCAGGTTGCCCCTGTGGGGGAGAAGCTCTGCTCAACTGGGGTGCAGACAAGGGGGT